ACCTAGCGCCGCTGTTTCCACGACCGCCACCTCGAAACAGAGAGAGCGGGGATTATTCCAGACGAATGAGCCTGCGGACAGTCGAGCCTGACGAATCGACCATTTCCGAAGCTGACTCACTAGAGGCGTTTCTTCACAGCCGCGCAAAGAGTCGGAATTCGTCCAACCCGCTCTTCGCAGGTCAATTTGGCCGTCGAGCATCATCGGGCTGCCGGGCTCTCGAGAGAGCTCGAAGCACAGCCAGTCGCGCCGACACAGTAGCCAGTTCCAACTACATTGAGGAATATCGAAACTCAATTCAAGAGCGGCCGTGGTCGACAGCCATGTCTGCCTCCATTTATACGGATGACCATCGTCAGTCGGCTTATTTACATAGCCTGTCTGAGGAATCTTCCGACATGGGGCCACCCCGCCCCGTGGGCAAACTGCCCAGCCAATCGAGTCTGGCACAGAACTACTCTGAGACGATTGCGCCCCTGCCTCGTTTCTATAGCGAAGTAAGCTTGGATGAGCCGAAACGGTTCGATGGAGGGCCGGGATTGGGGAAAGAGAACGATCCGCCCACTGAGCGGCAGCTCGGCGGGAGCTCACGCCCTTGGTATCAGACCGGCTTTTACACCCACGGCGACATAGCTGGGGCCGGACAGTCATCGCGAAAAAGCCCTTCACTCTACTCCATTCCTTTCGATTCCAAATCACGCCGAGTGAGCTTGAACCGAGCGGTGGAGCGGGAATGGGAAGAGCTGCACAGTATGCAGAGGGAGCCGGCAGGAAGCCTGAGAAACAACGCAGCCTTCTTGTGAATGAGGTGACAAACGCAATGCTTAGTATTTATGTTCATATTTGTTTTGGTGTTTTGCTTCACTGTCGACCAGGTCGTTTAGAAAAGTGTTCGGCGAGCGTGATATCCATGGATTCTGAATTTGGTTTCTTTGTTGCCCCTCGGACCGTTGGACGGTCCTGCGCCTATCTAGTACCCAGTAGTGTTTAGCTAAATAACTAATCCAGTTAATATATCACTTGCATTAGGTCACCAGAACAATGGGCCAGTAAACAGCGGTAAACCCTTGTTCCCGCTTATCGGACTTCGGAGAAGCGCCCATGTGTCACCGTCTGAACCATTAAGCCCCTAGTAAGATACGTCGGATCCTTTGGCCAGCTCCATGGCCGCTCCTTTTAGCGTCATTTGGAAATGAGGCTAACCAAGGCCCATTCTTATCATCATTTCTGGGGCAGAGGGGGTTCTTATTCCTTCCCTCAGCCTCTTGGCCCATGAGTTTTGAGGCATCCCTCTTCATCTCATGCCTATGATTCCTTCACCATGACCATTGCTTCCGATCAACCAGAAACACCCTCTGAGACAACTTCTCTCTTAGCTGGGCACAATGAACTCCCTGTGCAGCCAAAAAGTGTGACGCGTAGAGCCCAGCAGGTCTTATTTCTTGCGTGCCTCATAGCGGTCACTGTCGACATCGGCAACTACATCTCCGTTGCTCCCCAACTTCAGATATACGAGTTGAACATCTGCCAGCGCTTGCATCCGGAGGTCTTTGATAGCAACCCCGGCGGGGTTCTTCCTTCACTGATTCCTTCGGCTTGCAAGACTGCTGATGTGCAAGGTGAGCTGGCGTTGCTCAAAGGTTGGATGAGCACCTTTGACCAGCTTCCGGGCATTATTTTGGCGCTTCCATATGGACTCATGGCAGATCGCGTTGGTCGTAAACCAGTCTTATTTCTAAGCCTGGCTGGGTGTGTCTTGCAAGAGATGGCAATCAGAGTGATCGGTAAGTTAAGCTGATGTTGCGACGTGGAGGGACAGGCTAACTCCAATGTGAAAGCCTGGTATCATGCGACCATCCCCCCACGAGCTATTTGGTTTACACCAATCTTTCAGATTCTTGGTGGCGGTTCTCAGATAGCTACTTCAGTGGCTTTCACCATCATCGCGGATGTTTTCCCGGTAGAGAAACGGTATTGAAATCTTGCTAAACCTGTTCACATCCCCTCTGCTAATCAAGGCTCCTGTAGTTCAAGTACCTATTTCATCTTGTCGGCAGCTATACTGCTGTCAGAGATTCTTGCTGTTCCCTTAAGCGCCTGGCTGATGTCATCAAACGCCTGGATCCCTTGGATGCTCGGACTAGCCTGCGAAATTGGTAGCCTGTTTACGATCCTCTTGTTGCCGGAGACTAAACCGGAGCCTTCAGTCAACCCCGTCAATGATGTTCAGCCGGAGACGGCAGGCCACTTGAAGCTATCATCGGCATTTACATGGGCCACTGCGGTACACTTTGCTCGCTCACAGTTCGCTCAACTGCATGAGTTCATCGGCGAGTATCCAAGTGCCCTAATCATCTCCCTCGCCTTCCTCTTTTCGAGCTATGGAATTGAAGCAGTTCCTTTCATGCTCCAATATGTCTCCAAGCGCTTTTCATGGAGCTTAGCAGAGGTATGAGATCTCGGCAAAATGTACAAATACTTCAAGTTTCAGGTATGCTGATATGATTTCCAAGGCGAGCCTTCTCATATGCGTCAAGGGGATCATTAATTGCTTCGCTTTGATGCTCGTACTTCCGATGGCTACGAAGATCCTCGACCGATATTTGTCCCCCGTGCAGAGAGACCTTAAAGTGGCACTAGGCTGTGCATGTCTGTTAATGGCTGCTTTTGGCTTCATGTCCGTGGCATCTCATCCAGCAGTGTTCGTTGTAGGAGTTGCTCTGGTTGCTCTTGGAGGGGGGTTCAGCGCCGCTCTGCGCAGCGTCGGGAGTGCTTTGGTTGGGTCATCGCATGTTGGACTCCTGAATACGACCATAACTCTGACACAGGGAGTTGGACTCATGATATCTGGGCCACTCCTAGCTGGATTGTTTCGAGCAGGCATGGCCTGGGAAGGGGCGTGGATGGGGCTTCCATGGATGGCAGGATTTATCTTGTATGCAGCAACCATCCTGACAGTGTATTGCCTCCAAGTCCAGAGCTAGATCTAGCCATCATCATCTGGCCGTTGGTGACTGCTAGGGTCAGGTCAGCTGCATGGTATGAGAAACAAGTGATCAAGGTTGATCATCGAAGAGCATGACAGCGAGCTTGAATGTCCCCAGAAGGGGAGGAACAAGCGGAGAGAACCAGGGCAACGATGGTCAGTCCTGAATGGGCGTACTGATAGTGGTGGTATAGACCTTCCCATTTGCTAGAAGAGAAAAGATGGACACCGATCGCTCGCAAAGCGAGATGTGACCATTTCATAGTTGGATCTTTGGGTGGGATGGTAATAATCCACAATTGCATCGCTACTGGAATCTTCTAAGGAGCGGTCTGGGAAAGGCAGTTCACAAGGGAAGAGGTTGAAAGTATGGAGTAGTGAATTAGTTGAGAGAAAGAGCAGGTGCGACTCTCTACTAGATCAAAGACAACCGTCCTGCCACATGACCACGCTCCAACCGCCACGCTTATGTACTCGCTTTCTACACAATGAATGCTTACAAGGAACCTTCGAAGCTACTGGGTATTATCAGTATCTCATTATAAGTCGGTCAATGCTGTCTTCTCGGTTCCTCGATAAAACCCGGAATAGACACGAATTGAATTAGATAGCCCCAGTCCCCTTGCAAGAGCTAAAAGGTAAGCTGCTTGAGTTCGGACTGTCGGGGAATAAGTAGGCAACTGGCTGGCTGGCTGGCAGGCAAGCAAGCAAGGAAGGTATAGACAGAACTCATAGATGGCCTCTAGTCGAACGTAGGCGGCAGGAAGGTATTTACCAGAGCGGCTTAGTTTGCATGTATGAACACGTACCCAGATGCATGGGTCTGATCTACTGTATAACCCATCAGTAGCGCGTTTTGAGAGTTCCTTTATCTTAGCACGAGCCAGTCCTTTGGTAGTTCATATAATTAGTAACCTAGATCCCCGGTACCTTGCCAACTTCCAATCTAACCAGGCATTGAAGGTCAATAGGAAACGTGGCACGGACGACGTTCTTGTTTGAAGGTAGACATGGAGCTGAGCTAACTAGTACGTACAGTGTCAGCTCCACCGGAAGGTCTTTAAATGGATAATCCGTATTTCACCTGCAAATTAAATGGGGGTTTCATGCTGTAGAGATGCTATGCAGGAGCTGTAACAGGTAGGCACATCATCTATTATCTTCCAGCAGATACTAGAGACGTAGGGGGAGGGAAGTACCTCGAATTGTGGCTGGAGTTGATGGGTGAAAAAGTTCGGGTCAGCCGACGCCAAGGAGTTTTCGTCATTATTCAATTTCAATTCAATTTTTCAATTATTTTCAATTGCCGCATCCAGAAAAAGGCACGCGACTGGCAGACTTTCCCCCGGCTCTTCCCTTTTCGGGCCTACCGCCTGCCGCATGCGATCAGGTTGTAATGGTACGGTGGAAGTACCATGAGAGTACCTTACCTTTCTCCCCAACGGAGTGGAGGTACCCTGGAGGTACATGCGCTGCTCTCTGCCTGCTTCAGCCTGCTGTCTCTCTCTGTCTGCCTGCGGCTGACGCCCTTGTGATTTTCTTTTTCTCTCTTACAGTAACAGATGGCCAGATAATGCCTGATGCCCATTAGTCTGCTTATTATCGTGCAGAAAATCTCTTCCCCTTCCTGTGACACCATCTCCTCCTAACTTGGACCAGTTCCTCCCCTCGGTCCCTTGTGTCATTATTTAGTATTCCCAATTGTCTGACCTATCTTGCCTGTTATATCAATCACCCTGCTTCTCACCCAATTTCAGAGCTATCGTCATCGTTGAATCGGCTTTCCCCACTCCCCCGAATGATAGGTAGGCAAGACAGGCTACTACACCACTCCCACTACTACGTATTAGTAGTTAATTACTAGTAGTAGTAGGTGCTGTTATTATTATTACACCACCGAGTCCGGAACTTAACTAACCTTCCACAGCACTCCGGAGACACACACACTACTAAATCCTCACACAACTTTGGTCCCCTCTCTCCCTACTACTAGCTTCCCTTCCCCCCCCCCCCTCTCTCTCCCTCCACCATCCCATCATCAGTTCTGCTCACGCTTTTCTGCTGGTTCCATTCCCGCTTGCCGCCTCCCGAATAGTCATTCTGCCCTTGCCCTCAAAGCCAACCTAATCTCTTCTCTTTCACCTGATCTGCTGCCTCTTCCCTCCCCATCCCCCTCCCCTCGTCTTCCCCCCCCAAAAAGAATCCGCCGGGTTTTCTACCTTTTCTCTTCCTTCTATCCTTTCCCCTCCTCCCCCTCTTCGGTGGTGTGTGTATGTCTGTAACGGGCCTTTTCTCTGCGTGAACAGTTTAATTGTGATCCACTAGAAATCATGGGTCAGACCTTGTCCGAGCCCGTGGTCGATAAGGTGAGTGAAACCTGAAGCATTGCGTTTACCTGTCTGGTCTTTGATCCTCCCCCACACTGCACGCATCTTACGCCATTCCAATCTGTCCACCATCCGCGTTTGCCATTCTGTGCCATACCCGCCCATGCTCCCCTTTCTTATCCTTTGTCCAACATGTTCACTGCCCAAAATTATTATACCCTACAGCGTTCTTTGTCATTACTCCTCTTGTGTGTCGCGCCTGCATTGTGGTGATCATCCCTCCCCTGCGGGGTTCCTCCACAGGATGATGAAAATTTCCTGCACGCGATTTTGGGCGGATGACCTGTCACCATTCCATTGCGTTCCGGGCCTCTCCTAATTTCCTACATCCTCACTAACCACTTCCGGTACTATCTAGACTTCCGCTGAAGGTCAAGATGAGTGCTGTATATACGGTGTTTCCGCCATGCAGGGTTGGCGAATCAGCATGGAGGATGCCCATGCTGCTGTCCTCGACCTGCAGGCCAAGTACTCGGAGCAGGAAGAAAAGCCGACCGACCCCGATAAACGACTCGCTTTCTTCGGTGTATATGACGGGCACGGTGGTGACAAAGTAGCATTATTCGCCGGAGAGAACGTCCACAAGATTGTCGCGAAGCAGGACTCCTTTGCCAAAGGTGATATCGAACAGGCCCTGAAGGATGGCTTCCTCGCTACCGACCGGGCTATTTTGGAAGGTTCGTGAGCGCTATGATCGGAGTTCGGGCAACCTTACCACCCGCCTCTCCCTTCCCTTGATTCCTGTCCCTCCGAAATAGCAACGGACTGACCCGGCTAGACCCGAAGTATGAGGAGGAAGTGTCTGGCTGCACCGCAGCCGTCAGCGTTATTTCGAAGCACAAGATCTGGGTGGTATGTATCCTAGCCATGACCAATGAGGAAACGACATTGGGTTCGGTTCATTCGTTGACTGGTTATAGGCCAATGCTGGTGATTCTCGCTCTGTACTGGGTGTCAAGGGCCGCGCGAAGCCTCTTTCATTTGACCACAAGCCTCAGAACGAAGGTACAGACCCTACATCTCGATTACCGACCTGTATTGGTGATGCTGACATGACAAATAATAGGCGAGAAGGCTCGTATCAGCGCTGCTGGTGGTTTCGTTGACTTTGGCCGTGTCAACGGCAACCTGGCCCTGTCGCGGGCCATTGGTGACTTCGAATTCAAGAAGAGTCCCGAGTTGTCTCCTGAGCAGCAAATTGTCACTGCCTATCCTGACGTCACTGTGCACGATCTCAGTGACGATGACGAGTTCCTCGTAATTGCCTGTGACGGTGGGTCTCTCTCTGGTGACAATGAAGTGAGGGTTTCGGAGGTCGCTAACTTTTCGGAAACACAGGTATCTGGGATTGTCAGTCCTCCCAATCAGTGGTGGAATTTGTCCGCCGTGGGATTGCCGCGAAGCAGGACTTGTATCGGATCTGTGAGAACATGATGGACAACTGCCTGGCCTCCAACAGTGAAACCGGCGGTGTTGGCTGCGACAACATGACGATGGTCATCATCGGTCTCCTTAACGGTAGGACCAAAGAGGAGTGGTACAACCAGATCGCTGAGCGCGTGGCGAACGGCGACGGCCCTTGCGCTCCGCCCGAGTACGGCAAGTCTCTCGAGGATCCCACGGCCTCCAATTCCAATCCCTACTGACTGAACGGGGGGTGCAGCTGAGTTCCGCGGCCCCGGTATCCGGAATCAATTTGAGGAGAACCCGGATGACTTTGACATGGAAAACGACCGTGCGCGTGGCTTCAGCGTCCGCTCTGGCCGCATCATCCTCTTGGGGGACGGCACTGAATTGATTCCGGAACAGAACGATGACGAACTCTTTGATCAGGCTGAGGAAGACCAGGACCTTGTCAATCAGGTGCACCGTGATTCACCTGATGCGGCTCGGAATGAACGGGAGGGAACTCCTGGACCTCAGTCTAAGGACACTCCCCGAACGGACGCCGCTGAGATATCGGAGTCGCCGTCTACCACCGCGGAGGGTTCGTCCGGCAGTGCCCCTGGAACGCCGCAAAAGCCTACGAGTTCGTAGTCATGATGGATCTCTTGCATTTCTCCTTGATGTGTCTTTTCTTTTTTTTTTTTTCTATTTCCTTTTCTACCCTTGCCGCGCTTGTTACCTTTTTCCCTTTTTCCTTATTTTGGTTCTTTGAAAACCATCCTTGTGTGATTCTACGACTGTGCCCGTTTTTACCTATTTCCTTACATTTACGTGGACTTCTTTCTGCCTTGCCCCTTTCGGAAGCGCCAGGCTTTCTCACGTCGAACTCCCCCCTTCTATCTATCATACTCCAGCCTTACTCCCTTTCGAAATGGCCAAGTGGTTTCAGAGGCGGAGGAACCCAATCGCGAGGTGACCTTTTTTTACGAGAAGGAAGTCCAAAGTCACTCAATATTTCGGCATTGGTTGCGGGGTGGATGCATGGGAATCGGGTCGGAGGGTTTCGTTTATGTTTACCAGTTTTATTGCAGAGCCGCGAGCGGCCGGCCTCACGAGAGTACGTCTGTTTCATGCCATGAACAAGATACCGCACAAAACGCCCACTGTTGATGAACCATGATATTTTCCATGATTGTCCCAATTTTCTTTATCTATCTTATTGTCTGTGTCTTCCCTGCTCCTTGACGATGCGATGCCGTGTCCACCTCAGCTGCAACCTGGAAATCACCGGCGGGACAGCCCTTGCGATGTCCCGGCTTGAGCGCGACATTGGTATGTTGTAACCACTCGATCACGTCAAGGAGGAAAGGGAAATAGCGGAGTTGCACACCATGTATGGCGTCCCGGGGGGAGAAATATTCCACGATGGCATGACGTATAGTTTTTATAAGTCCGGGGTCGGGTAAGGCAAACTCGTCGAATGCTTGCTTCAGCAGCGGAGTTTCTGGAACCGGGATGAAAGCGAGCCGTGTATGTTGAATCTCTTGTCTCGTTTTTCTTCTTTTTAAATTATATCGTATGCATATAGAAACGTTGGCTGTGCAGGAGTCTTTACACCATCCGGAAGTTAATTGCGACAAAAGATGTGGGGATGCGCGTAGTTATAGTACGTAGTGGAAGAGGAGTGTAGGATGGATCTGTTTAACGTTAGTAGGTAGCTAAGCTAAATCCAGTACTTCGCAAAAAAGGCCTGATTGAGGTACACCGTATGGTACTTTGGAAGGACCGGGCGAATGAGAGGGCCCGCCGGAGTCCCGTGATGGGCGAAGATGGTTGGGGCAGGACCATACGTGACGGTCAGTTGTCTTGCTTGCTTTCCCCACTGTGGGCAATGCCAGTATTTTAGCAGTACGTATCTAGCAGTAATTAGCAGTTTCTCGCGGTCATTAGCGACCCATTTCCTGGTAAGCGGTCAGTTATATCGGAGGTGATCAGTCGAGTGTGAGTAAGGTACCATACATGAATCAATATTCCCGGTCGGGAAGATTTTGAGATTCTTGCCTTTTTTAGTCTGCGCTCTAGTTTCGGATCCGCGATACTTTCGGTCGGTTTCTTCCCCTTGTCTTTGCTTGCTCCATCGCCCGTCTGTCAAGGGTCCTGCTCTAGTTTCTTCCTCTTCCTCTTCCTCTTCTTACTCTTTCTCTTTCTCTCTCTCTTCCTCCTTCTTCTCCCCCCCTCTCCGCCATTCACCCCCCATGGTTTGTTGAGGGATTTCATCTTCTCCTCTGTGCTTTGGATCCCATCCCCGGGCCCTCCCGTACACTCCTCTTCCCTCCTCCACATCCTCTCCGTCTTGCTTTTCTGTCCTCTTGTCTCACCTGTCGCCAAGCGGATTAATTTCTTATCCTCCTTCTCTTTCGCCGCTCCTCCTTCTCCTCAGCTTCTTCTTTTCCGTGTAATTTTCTTTATTGACAGAAGTCGAGCTGTGCTCCCTCGGTCGGCCATCATGTCCTCCCCCCAATCCTCGACTAAACGCAAGCGCAGCGGTTCCCAACATCTTTCCGCCAATGCCGCCATTCCATCCCCTGCAGAACTTTTGCAACCCTCCTCTCGCGATGCATCCGGTGAGGAAGGCGACGAGTCCACAGGCTCCGCCATTCCCTTGCCCAGCAAGCACAAGAAGCAATCATCTCTCGATGTCACCTCTGCCGGCGCCGTTCCGCCCACCAAACGGGCCCGCAAGGCGTCCACCAGTGAAGGTCACGTTCCAGCTTCCAATGGTGATCTCCCCGACGCACCATCGGCCCTCAGCAAGGAGGATCCGGGCGAGCCATCAGAGACCACCGTGGCCAGCAGTGATATCGAAAGTCGGAGCAAGAGCCGGCCGGGCTTGCAGGTAGACACATCGGAGCCGTTGATGAGCCCTCCCGCGCGTGCTGGACTTCAGGACCCCGTCGGTTATCACACCAACCCTCCACCAACGGGACGGCCGGTGCGCGTATATGCGGACGGCGTGTTTGATCTGTTTCATGTGGGGTATGTATCGGCCATCCGGCTTAAGTAGACGGAGTGCTAATCATGAGGTGTGCAGACACATGCGACAGCTGGAACAAGCGAAGAAGGCGTTCCCTGACGTGCATTTGATCGTTGGAGTGACCGGAGACGAGGAAACACATAAGCGCAAGGGACTGACGGTCCTGAGTGGTGCGGAGCGCGCGGAGAGTATCCGCCATTGCAGATGGGTGGATGAAGTGATTCCCAATTGTCCTTGGATTGTGACGCCGGAATTCATCGATGACCACCAGATTGACTACGTTGCGCATGATGATCTACCATATGGTGCGGATGAGGGGGATGATATCTATGCGCCGATCAAGGCTCAAGGAAAGTTCTTGGCTACACAGCGGACAGAGGGTGTGAGCACAACGGGAATTATTACCAGGTGAGTTGTGCTGCTCGATGGCTATGCTTGGATGGGGGCTCATTCAAGTACAGAATTGTTCGCGACTACGACCAGTACATTTCTCGACAGTTTAAGCGTGGTGCTTCACGACAGGAACTGAACGTGTCATGGTTGAAGAAGAATGAGCTGGAGATCAAGCGTCACGTGAATGAGCTCCGGGACAGCATCCGGTCTAACTGGACTACGACAGGCCAGGAATTGGGTCGGGAGCTGCGTCAATTCTGGCAAAACAGCCGGCCCAACAGCCCGCTATCGAGCGCGCGCAACAGCATGGATCTGGGCGGCTCGCGCAGTGGTGTCACCAGTCCTGTGCTGGGCAGCAAGGCACACGTTTCTCGGGTGGAGGCCCTGGGACGGCCGGAGAGCACAATCGGCAATGGTCGGAACGAGCCGGACTTTGCAACGGGCTACAGTTTGGGATTGATTGGGGGTGTTCGCGCATGGGTAGGTGCTTTGTTATTGATACTTTGTGGCATTGACTAATCTTGATCCTGTAGATGCGCAGTCGCCGTTCTCTCGTGGGCAGCCGGGCACCATCGCCCACCAGCGAGGAAGAGCACGATTCGGAGGTGGAACGCAGTACGGAGGCATTGCAGCAGCAGCTTCAACAGCACGAGCATGAGCAGCATCACGGTTGATTGATTGGTTAGTTGATCATCTACGATATTTTTCATCAGACCCCAGACTGGTGAAGAGGTCTGTGTTCTGACTTGTTGCAACGATCGATGTAAGTTAAGCGAGGACTTTATTTTCATTAGCTCACGGTAGCGTTGGAAAAAGAAAAGAAGAAAAGGAATAGATGTTTTATTTGATATTTCTTTTTTCCTTTCTGACCGAGTTAATGAGTAATGATTGTCTGGATTGGTATGTTTAATGGGATGTTGGGATGGGTTGGTGGTTATTGTTGGTTGGTTGGTTGGGTTTTTTCTTTTGGTAAATTGCATACTTATTCTTTTCAGTTCTTATTCACGGCATGAGATGGATGGATGGATGGATGGTAATGTACAGCTAGATTGATTGATAGAAGGGCTAATTCATTCATGGATATGAGAAGTGGTAGTAGCAGTATTGGGATGCAGTATATATAGTAGTCAGTCTAACCAATGATGACTTCTATCGTGCACACAACCAACAAAACCAGGGTATCTATCATGCAACAAAACGCTTTAAACATCACTTTCTTCCCTTCAAGCAGCCATAATAGTCAACCTCCCCCTCCTCTCACCCACCACATCCTCCTCACTCATAAACCCACCATCCACCCTCTCCCGACACATCACCTCCACCAACCTTTCCCTAAGCACCTGCACATCCCTCACCAACCCATTCTCCAACACCCGTCTCGCCAACCGATCACACCTAACCATCACCCCCAACTCAAACCCCTTCAACCCCCGTACCTGTAACAACGGCCTCACCCACTCCTCCTCAGTCCCAAAACTGACCATATTCCCCCCAGTCACCGACATCCCCCCACCTCCTCCTACATGGTTATTAACCGCAAACACGGTCCCCAAATCCAACCCTAACCTGACCCTCTCCAACCCGGGACACTTCCTCGCCACGGCATCCCAGAATCCGGCCCATAGCGTATCATTGTGCGTATGCGTATACACTGAAAACGGATATTCCTGGCCAGCCATGGGCTGCCAGATCGGTGTGTATTGCACGGTGAGGGACTTGATGTATTTCCGGAGATGGGGGGAGATGGTGTTGATGAATGAGAGGAAGGTGTAGAGGTCGTCTGTGTCGATGGTCGTGAGGGAGTAGAGGAGGGGTGCGGACTCGAGGTACATGGCTCGGCAGGTTAGGAGCGGGGAGGTGGTGTTGCGAGAGAGGGTGGTGGGGAGGGAGGGGTGGGTGTGCGGGTAGAGGGTGCTGTTTGTGTCGTGTTGCTTTGCTTGATTTGTTCCTTTGGGAGGGTTTATGGTGGTGGTAGTGGTAGTGGTGATGATGGGTTTGGGGATGGTGGTGGGAGAGGTGCGCCATCTGGCCATGGTTTGGGGACAGCATTGGCGGTGTTTGTCGAGTGGGGAGGGGTGTGTGCATCGGACGTGGTGGATTTTGTTGCGGATCTGGACCAGGTGGATGGTTGTGTTTGTAGTAGTGGTGGTGTCATTGGGGTTGGGACTGGTGTTGGGGGAGTCGTTGAAGACGTAGGCGTAGATCATGAGGCGGATTTCTGGGGGCAGACGTTGGAAGAAGCTGCTTGTTGGTTGGGAAGTGCTGTCTGCTGCTGCGGATGGTATGATGTTGTCGTTGGAGGAGGATGTAGATGGAGGACTGCATATTTGACGAGATTGAATCAATTCGCGAATGGTTTCTGGCCATCGTTTGCCTGTGGGATAGTAGTGGAAGATGGAGTAGGGGTCGCGGAGGATCCAGGTGTCGAAGTGGCGCATTTTGTATATTTCAATGGGTATATATCTTGTCTAGTCTAGTGGTTTAGATGTATGGATAAAATATAGAATGTAAGTCTAAAAGATGTATAAGTATGATTGAGTATAGAGAAAGAATGACGGGCCTAGCTTATACATATATAAGCTAGTGGGAAATGCACAGATACACACTGAGATAGAAAGAAGTACGAAGTGATAATAGCAACATTTAAGAAGAAGAGTATAAAGTAATAAATTAGTTAATATTCGAGAATCGGAACAGCACGGTCTCAAGTGCAACCTTATGACGTGGTGGCGGCCAATCAACTGGTTCACATGCAGGGATGCTGCAGTCAAGCTCGCCGGTAGGATCAGAGTGCTCCGGTTGTCGTAGTAGTAGTATTGATGTTGAACTGTAGACTGAGAATGGTTGGTATCCTGGGTTGTTCCAATTGAGAATGCCACGTAGAGATGCTACATGGACAAAGTACTAAAGAGTAGTATAAGAAGAAGTGATATCCCCGGATTGCCCTCCCTCCACTATCTCCGTCAGTATCAGTATTAGTCCGGTAAGAGTATTGAAGCGAGCCTATCACAGTCCCAATCCAGGAAGAGCTTCAGCCACTTTCCTGCATTATGGCCAATCACAACCCTCAAAAGCAATTGGAGATGCCCATTGGAGTGGAGCTCTCTACACACTTTGCCACTTGCGGACTGGCATCATTTACTAGCGTATACTTAGTATGGAAGTACCACTGCATCCGACCGCCTCACTTTCACTGCTATCAATCAATTAATCAATCAATCACAACCCCATAACTAGTGACTTCATATATCCTTTTCTATATACTGCTATGCTCTGCGCCAGTATGCTATGCATTGTGAGCCCTTCCTCCCCCTATCGACATGTGGCATCGCTCAACCTCTTCCCTCCGCGGTCGAGCTATGCACTGTGACGCCGACCTGCTTCCTTTTTTCTTCCCCCCTCCCAAAGAACTTCAGGCAAATCCCTCAGATCGTCGCGCGATTTGCAAAACGCCTCATGCGCGACCCCCGCTCTGTTGTCTTTCCCCGCCCTCCTCCAGACGCGCTTCTGCAGCCACTCCAGCCCGGTTCTCGTCCGTGCCCTCTTGATCTCCTCCCTCCTTCTCCTCGGATGCGGTTCCCTTTGCGCCCTCTCGCGCCATGGCCACATACATCGCGCTCACCAGGATCAGCGCCGATCCCGCCCAGCTCACCGCCGACAACGTACTACCCCAGATCGCCCGGTCGTAGAACACGGCAAACAGCATTTGCGTGTACAGCATGAAAGTAGCCCGCGACCCAGACGATGTTGGCTTTGCTGATGCTTCCTCCTCCTCATCGCGCGTACCATAGTCCCGATCCCAGTTCACCGAAGTCTTGGGCTTGGTCTTCCGCACTGGCGGCACATACGCCAGACCTGCCGTGAGCAGGAACTGCAGCAAGAATCCGCTAACACCCAGCCCAAGAAGCAGCGTCCATTCCCACAGCGTTCCCGGCAGCTCCAGCGGAACCGAGGGCATGACCAGCATCGCCAGTGTAGCTACGACCGTCGTGAATGAGGAAAAGTAAGTCACTGAGACGAGCGGGTGACAGCGCTGTCCGATCATCCGGATCGTGGTGTACGCACACGAGGCTCCCAGCACTCCGAACGTAGCCACCACGATGGCCAGCACGTGGTGGTAGCTATCGGTGGCACCGGGCTTATCGCCTTGCTCCGGTTCTTCGGAGTCGGCGCCCGACCGCATGAACGGGAACGGCCGAGCGATGAGAACGACACCCGCCAGCGAGACCAGTCCGGCAAGTTGCTGCTTGCGCGTGAAGGTCTCGTTGGGGATCAAGAGCGAGCAAGCATAGCAGCTCAGGATCGGCGCGAGGAAAGTCACCACGGTCGCCTCGGAGAGCGGCAAATACTGAACGGAGTAGTAGAGCCCGTAGACGCCGAAGAATCCACCTCCAGCGCGCAGCATCAGCAGAGTAAAGGTTTCGCGCGTTCCGAACGGATGTGGTACTCGCGCGTACCACATGTAGAGGTAACTAGCGAGAACAGTGATAGACATGCGGGCGAACAGGATCTGTAGTACGGGGATCAGCCGGGTTCCTGAGCAGGGATATCTAGTGTCTTCACTAGAGGGAGCCCCATGAGTGGGCGATCCCTACACAGTACACACAGTAGATGATGCTTCCATCTACTAGGAGATAGCTATCCAGCAGATAGGTAGGTGATATAGAAAGAACGCACCTGAAACGGATGAAACCCCTTCCCATCACGACCCTTGATTTCCAAAACCTGCGTCATGACATTCATCGACGCACCAAAGAACTGCGCGAACATGACCAGGATCATGCCCTTACCCTGCAGCCAGACATCGCAGGATACCTGCTGCGCCGTCTTCCACCATGGCTGAGTTGAGCAGTGTTGCATTGTTGAAGAAGCAGAAGCAGAAACATGCCCATGTCCCGAATGAAGCAGTGGCGTCTGCTCCGAATAGACAACGTGCTGCTGTTCATCAAGCTGATTGTTCTGAGCCGGTAGTAAAGTTACATATTGTTGCTGAGTTTCTTCACCCGCGGTCGAGTTGACGCCCCTTGCGTCAGACGGATTCAGAGACATTTTGTTTCCAGTGGATCCAGGTAAGTGATTCTATTTTGCTTTGGTATTTCCTTTTCCTTCGTAAATCATAAATTCATGAAAAAGCAAAATGGGTTGAAATATCGTTCAATCGTTCATGTACTCATGGATGAAACAAGAAAAATAAGTAAAAGTAGTGTATCCCTGCGCCCCTTTGGAAAGAGGAAGAAAAACTTGCAAGTCAACAGACCGGCTGGAAGAGCACTGGAATGCGACGATATCACTTTTTTATTAATCAGAAGAAGAAAATATAAATCCCAGTCAAAATAAGCCCGTGACACCAAACTTCTTTTAGAGCCGCGATCGGCCTGGTTTTTGTTGCATGACTAATCGGGCCCTTGTGACACCCTTCGGTTTGGAGGGGAGTTTGTCCGAATCTTACTATTCTTATGTTGTATATCGATTGATGTGTGTTGTTGGTAAGAGGATATGAGAATGTATTGTATTGTTCAGGAAGCATAACAATCTGATTGAAATGCTATGCAGGTATCCTTGGGGGTTGCTGGCTGTGCATGAGAATGGTTCCTTGGTTGTGGTGCGCTTATCGGATCTACTAAATATCATCCAGATATATGTTTCTTGAGGTGACACTAACACAAGGTCAACAGATATACTGCGATATCACATCATGAAGCAGAATACATGGGCGGATATGACGCCAACATGGAAGTTCAATGAGATGTACATCTGCATGTGAGCAGCAGGGATCAAACTTTATTAATTACTCAAGGTCCGTGCCCAGACTGTGTGTTTAGTTGTTGGTCTGTCTCAACAGTATACACATAGATTATACAGCTCCTAGTTGTATATATGATCTACATAAACGTAAAAGTATCTCCTCCCTTCTCGCGCATCATATTGCCCACACGCTGCGTGCCCACAATCCGCTCCAGCTTCAGCGCATCCCACTTGGAGAACAACGCGCGCACGCCTCCCTCGGCCGCCTCGACCAACGCGGCTGGATCCAATCCCAGGAACCCGACAATCTCGCTATAGAACGCCGGGTTCTCAGGCACTCCGTACATGATGATCCGCTTGACCCCGCGGAGCTGGTACCGACGGAAGTGGTGCAGACGCTCCGTGTACAGCAGCACCGACTGGCGCCCATTCATGAAATACGAGCGAGCCCGCGCCGCCTCCCGCTGCTCTGTGTATTCGGAGATGGCTCCGAATGAGACGTTGGTGGTCTGCTGCGACGTGGCGAAGTGATTACGCACGCGCACAAAGTCCAGGTACGACGGGATGAAGATCAGGGTTCCGCCGGCGCTGGCCTTGCCGCGACCGGAGGCAATGTCGCGCACCAGCGACGAGAGGATGGTCGTGGTGAAGTGCTTGAACCGTGCATCGGGGTCTTTCGCCGGCGAGAGACAGTCGAAGCGGGTAAATGTCTGCCTGACCGAGACCGGGAGGGGGAGCTCGGTGATCGCGCCCGCGTGGATCGGCGTGGCCTTGACCCTGCCCGAGGTGTTGTGCATGTGCGTCGAGAACACCGAGTTCATCTCCGGAGTGACGAATGAGGTGAGCATGATCATCTGCCGCACATACCGCGCGTTGTTGTCCAGGTACCATGTCCGTACACGACTGAAGTCACATCCATGTGCCTCTCGGGGCTGCAGGTTGAGGTGCTTCATGATGTAGTCGATGTGATCCCAGTTTTGCATGAGCAATGCATCCGCATGATCGACGATTACTACTTCGATAGACGAAAGGAAGTCGTGATCGCGTTTCTTTACACTGTGAGGCATTAGATAGAACGTTCTGGACCCGAGGGTTGAGCTAGTCGACTTACTCTGCCTGGTCCATGATGGTGCGTAGACCAAGTGGACTGGCCAGGATCATATCGGAGGTGTAGAATTGCGCAAAATACTTGACAGTCTTGCGGGTGAACTTGAGACCCAGACGGAACATGTCGTCGTCATTGCCACCGAAGAGCTCGCGGAAGTCGTCCGGCTTGCTCTCCCATGACGGGTCATCAGCCGCCGAAAAGGTGTCGAGGAGACGTTTCTTGTTTTCTTGTTGCTCGGGTTGGAAGAAGCGCGTGATGGACTCGACGGCCCGCACACAAGCCTGCTTGGTGGGCAAGAGATAAAGTACCTTCGGCCGAGTGAAGCCCTGGTCTCGGACATCGATGTCGGCGTCTTGCTCTTTGGCCAAGCGTGTGTTGTTCTTGAGCACTCGATCGCGGGTCTTGAGCACGTGGTTGGTGGCGTGGAGGGCCAGAAGATCGCGCATCTGGGCTGAGTTGGATGGCGTCCGGGCTCCATACAGGACGTCCTGGTAGCCGAAGATGTACGGAGCAATGTGCTGGGCCTGTCCACCGATTTGGGGGAATTTATCGGAGGCTGGCTCTTTGAGTTTTCTCTTAAGCTGTACCGGATATAGATCAGCGGCCGTATCAGTAGACTAGGGCTGCCACGCTCACCTTCACGCTTGAGATCTGCTTCATTGGAGGTAGCCAGGACGCATCGTCTCCAGTATCTGGAATAGTGCGCACAAGCCTCAAGCCTTCTGGCAGTTCCTTCTTTGCATTCTTCCACTTGTTCTCCCCAATAGCCTTGATCTTCTTGGCCAGCTCGTCTTCCGTAGGGTTCGTGAAGTGCGTGTCGAAAGGATCGTTGTCTGTTGAACATTAGTGCAATGGCAAAACAAAGCAACAGCATAATCTCATACCGTCTTCGTCATCACTATCCTGTGCACCAGCATCTTCTTGATTTCCATTGTCCTCTTCATCCGAAGGCTCTTGTTGCTCAAGATCGTCCTCCCCGAGAGCTTCTTCGTCCTCCTCCGCAACAGGGTCCTCGCGAACAACCTCGACGGTCTCTGTAGTCTTATGGTCCACCTTTCTCCTCTTGCGGGCCGGACCCTTGGAGTCGGTAGATGTGTTCAAGAGTTGTAGCAGCTCGTTGTAAGGGCGACCAGACTTCTCCTCATCCTCTTCGTCGCTGGATGAACCGACGTCCATGACTTCCTCTTCGGCCATACCACCCTCCATATGCTCATCGACAGGACCATCTTCACCGGACGAAGAATCATCAGACCTGCATGGTTGGTCAGCTTTACTGTAGAGACCAGCGCGGAAGTGATGCTCACTCTATGTCGGCAACCCGAGAAGCCTGGAAGGCATCGCGGCGCCCGACGGGCCCTCTCGAGCGTTTTCCGCGGCCTCTAGGAGCTCTGCCTCTTGGAGGAGCCATTGATAATAAAGTAAAAGCAAAATTAAATTGGCTAATGGCCACTAGAACAGCAACAATTCGGGGTCGATTGCAGTTGGGCGGATTATTTTTTCGCGGCGTTGGGGGGGAGTTGCTTATCTTATCTTAGCGCGAAATTCCCTTTGCGCACACACAATTTGAGCCTCGCAGCAGAACCTCCGTCGCGGCATCAGAGGCGGAAGATTTAATTAGTATCCCGAACCCCAGAGTGCCACTCTTTCCCCCCCCCGGCCAGGACGAGATCAACCCGAGAGACCGCTCGACCTATTTTTCATCATGGCTGAAGCTGATTCCTTCCTTCACCTCGCTCGCCCTCTGGGCCCCGTGGCAGTGGGGACTGCACCGACAACCGCCCCTCTGAACGTTGTCATCCAGCCCCAGGTACGTGTTATATGGCTGGGTCTTACAGACTTTTCGACCTGGGTCATAGTGCTAACTCTCTGGGCTAGGCACTCTTCTCGATCCTGGACCACTCCCTCCGTCGCAACGCTGACCAGGAGCGTGTCATCGGTACTCTGCTGGGAACCAGATCCGAGGATGGAACCGAGGTGGAAATCCGCAGCACCTTCGCTGTTGGACACACGGAGACGACAGACCAGGTTGAGGTGGACATGGAATACCAGAAGCAGATGCTTGCGTTGCACCTGAAGGCCAACCCCAAGGAAGTGCTCGTGGGTTGGTACGCCACCTCGTCCGAGCTGAACACCTTTTCCGCTTTGATCCAGAACTTCTACAGCGGCCAGGGTGATGGCACATGGCCTCACCCTGCCGTCCACTTGACCGTCTCCACCGAGGCTGGAAAGGATATCGAAACCCGCGCCTACATCTCCGCCCCCGTTGGTGTGACCGCGGAGAGAGCCGCCGACAGCGCCGCCTTCATCCCCGTCCCTTACGAGATCCGCTACGGTGAGGCCGAGAAGAGTGGTCTGGAGGCTATTGCTGCGGCCCGTGATGCTGAGGAGCGTCGTGCCAACATCTTCACTGATATCGAGGCTCTGGAGCGTGCGATTGAGGATGTTCTGGGCATGATCGACCGGGTTTCCCGCTACGTTGAGTCTGTCATTGACGAGGAGGCTCCTGCTTCGACGGCCCTGGGCCAGTACCTGCTCAACACCTTGGCTCTGGCACCTAAGGTTGAGCCCGCTGACATTGAGCGTGACTTGTATGTTGCCCCTTCTCCTCCCCCAACCCTCAGTTATCTCTTTGAAACCAAGCATCAAACTAACCAAACCCAACAGCAACAACCACATCCAGGACGTTCTGGTCGTGTCCTACCTGGCCAACACCATCCGTACACAGATGGAGCTGTCCAACCGGCTAGCAACCGCCCAGCTGACTCTTGGAGGCGAGTCCGGCAGCGGCGAGTCGGGCGACAAGCGCGGCGGCCAACGGGGCGGCAAAGGAGGCCGGGGCGGGCAACAGCGGACTCAAGAACGGAGTGGAGAGGAGGCTCGCGCGTAAGAGGATATCATAGGGTTATTATAACGATACCTTTCCATTTCTCTTTTTAACATTTATTTCATTTGTGCAAAATTCTTTTTCTTTTCAGTTTATTTCTCTCGCCACGCAACAAAAAGCATGTCCCCCTTGATATCGTTTCATTTCCTGGATATATGATATGTTTCCAGTCCATATCCGGTTTCTTGTGCCAACCCAGGGGAACTGAAGTCATGTTGTATGGATGGAAGCCTACCTACAAGGGCTGGTTCCGCATCTAGCAATGGCAGGCATCAACATCCCAACCAATACGCGCCCTCATCAATGATCGCCCCGAAAAATTGAGCATCATAAGGAATGGATAGGACCTTACGAAGACCGAACCCAACGAACCCCAAAAAACGGAAAGGAGGAAAAAGAAATAAGAATGAAAGAATGAAAGAAAAGAGCAACGAACGGCGTATGGGAGTCCGTCTGTCTGGCTTGAAATGGAAAAGAAATGGGAAAAGAGAGCAGAAAGAGATATTTTTACGTACATGCAATCAGCCCTGCAACAGATGCTTGCATTTCGTCTTTTGTCCAGTTTTCTTGTATGTGATGTAGGGTAAGGTAGGGTAGTCTTGGTGGTTTTGAGGTACATATGCAGTATATTTGTGGCACGTTGACTATCGTACCTGTCTCCGTTGATAGACGTTGCAATAGAGTATCATTTAGGGCAGATCATTTCTTATCGATGCAGCTTTACCTTTTACAGTAATGATAGATCCCTTGATAGTTTTCATCAATTCAGGGAGCTAGTTGCTCTTAACTAAGTAGTAATATCCAATCTTGATACATAAGTAACGCCCCCCAATGCCGACCAGATAGTAGTGGATATCATATATGTGTAGAAATGCAGGTGGAATAACCCTACCCCTGTGGACCCGAACGCCAGAAAAGATAAAAACGAAGTCAGCAGCCAGAGCAGCAAGAAAGGTATCGGACGAGATCAAATCTCAGCTCATCCCACGACCTTTCGCTTCTTCGGCGCTGTATCCTCAGTTGCGTCCGAATCGCGTCTTGCATTTCTCTTCCCCTTGCCCTTACTCTTCTTCCCATCAACGCTTTCACCAAGTTCTTCAAGGCCCTTCTTGCCCGCATCCTTCAAGTTACCGACCTGATCATCATTCTGATCAAATGCCTTACGAGCCTCTTTCAGCTCACGCTCCATGCGAAGAAGTTCCTGCACACGACCAAGCTTGTTCGGGTCCCGGCGCAACGCAAATCGGAAGTCATCAACCTTGATCTTCTGTCGGCGGGAGTAGCTGGCGTACTGTGCCGCACCGTGACACATCTCGAGAACGAAGTCGGTGACAATCTCGTCCAGTACACGGATGGTTTCGGGGAGTGGCTCGGGAGGGTAAGATGGGTGCGGACGGGGGTCACCATAGGCAAGAAGGAGGAGACGGACTGATATGTGTGTTAATGTTAGCAACGACAACCCAATATAGATCTAGTTTATCGATTGAAGCCAACGGCGACGGACGTACGTTCAGATGCAAAGTTCATCTGACCCTTGTGCCTAGCGGCACGGGCTCGTGGTTCCGCCATATTATTAGTGTTCTTCTTCTTGGTCCCCTTTTTATTGCTATTCTTGTTGCTATTGTTCGAGGACTGTTCGTCCGCTTCGGCGACGGGTTGCGGTTTAAAGGCGGGACGATATCCGGCGCGGATTAGTTCTGTTTCCTGGGGATTGAACGGCCAAGCAGAAGCGAGCTGACTCGACACATGGCCAGTGCTGGGCTGACGGGGAGGGGCTGGTGAAGCCCTAGAAGTCTGCTGCGATGGCAGAGAACGGCGGAGAGGCTGCGAGGCTGGACGGGCAGCAGAAGATGTGTTGCGAATTGAAGCAGGAGCTGCGGCGGAACGATGGCCGGACTTCCGCGCGGAAAGGCGGTGGGGACTCGTGACGGAAGACATGGTGGCAGAATCACTTGGTTTGGTTGCGCGCGGGACGGAAGTCGTTCTGGCTCATCAGTTGTTACTTCTCGTCTGTTGGTTTACACACGACCGATAAAAGGTACCTTTTGAGATACAGACAACCTGGGAGGGATTGAAGCAAAGAAGAGAAGGAGAAAGTAACTAAGAGGCAGTGAGGTTTCCAACTACGGGAATATACTATCAAGATGGTCAGTGAATATACTCCGCAATCTTCCCACTTGCTGCCACTTCTACTGGTGATGGATCGTTAACTTCTAGTGCATGATGCAGTCTGCCTTGTTCAACTTTCAATCACTTCTGCTCGTGTTCTTGCTTATCATCTGCACGAGCACATATGCGCACTCGATGATGCCTGGGATCATGGACCGCAATCAGAGCGGGTAAGTGCTGCTGACTGCTGCTGTCTGAAGTGGACCTCATGTCGAGTCTATGAAGTGACACGGTTCTGACCTGATATTGTCTTAGCTTCTTTGGGATCTTCTGGAAGTGTGCTCGAATTGGTGAACGGTTGAGCCCCTATGTCAGTATATGCTGCGTCGTGATGGCTGTGAGTATACCAAGCACCCTGCGGGAACCAATTGCTAGCTTAACTCCGATGCTAATACCCATGTTCTTGCCAGGTCTCGATCTTCTTCGGCGGCTGATCGACTCGCCCCAACTCCTTGCGGTCTCAGATTAGATGGTCATTCTACCAGGTGGTGGCGTTACTGAAGCTTCTCTTTTCGCATCTTCTTTTCTTGCAGGGGTCTCTCATGATTATTGATCTGTATATCGTACATAAATTCTACACTATCAGGATGTCTATGTTCAAAAAGGATTTTGTCCGAAACCACCGTAATCCCAGGTCCGCGCTAGAGATGCAAGAGAATAAACAGAAACAGACGGGAAAACAGAAGAAAGGGTATCTCATGCGTTGGCCTTTAGACGTTGCAGGCCTCGATCGAGCAGCTGCTCAGTTTCCGCTTCGTCCAGCTGGGGATATTCGGGGTTCGGATTGAAAGCATCCCTCCTCAAATGTGAGGCAGATTTCAGGTCCAGCTGTTCCACAGCAATCCAGAGTTGCTCTGGATCCCGAAGGTAGCGTAGGCCCTTCATCGTGTAAGCATCGATAGACAAGCCCTGATCCTCGAGATCCTTAATTGACTGCGCGATAGCAGATGCATTCTGCTGACTCGCAAACCCGCTGATGATGACATTCCAGGTCGTCATACTGTATACGACTCCATGCTTGGCCATCATCTCTCTCACCTTCTCAGCCGCGAGTGGCTGGTTGTTATAGATGAAGGCACTCAACAGCAGCGTCCAAGTCAAGACCGTTGGCGGTGTCTGCGTGAAAGTGGGTTCAGAGCTGCCAGTTTTGGCGCCAGCTTCAGTGGCAGACTGTAACATATCTTCAACAACGCGCACAGCGGGTCGCAGCCCGTGTGGGTTGTTGCGATACGCAAGCATGAACTCATTGTAGGTATGGTCGGTCGCAGCCAAAGGGGCTATGTCTTTGTGACCTTGCAACACCAATTCCCGGAACCTGTTATAGACACGTTCGACACTGCCCACGTGGGCTTGACACCGAAGCCAAGTCGCAATAACGAGATATAAGGCAATGACGGACGGTGGTGTCTTCTCGCCAGTCGTTGGAAGATCGTACTGACGAGGGACAATCGAGAGCTCCTTCAAGGGCGTTATGTCATGCAGCTCGCAATACATGCGCAACAGAGAGTAGAAAATTTCCCGGCGGTCAGTAGCACCATCGAGGTGCTTCACGTTGAAAACGAAGTGAGAGTGAAAGAGCTTGCTCGCAATATAAGGGTTCTTCTTGAGCTCTGGCTGGCTTTCAAGTTCCTCCATCAGGTGCGTCATTCGCTCCCTGTCTTGACGAGCGACAGCATCGCTAAGTAGAGTCAGATAAGTGTACGAATCAAGTTGGAAGCCTTGAGCCTTCATGTGGCGTAGTACGTCAAGCCCTAATTGAGGATCCCCTGTCTTGAAGGCGTTGGAAAGTACCACGTTCATCATGTCTCGGTCAGGCTGCACCCCCATACTGAGGAGTTCGGGAAGAATGCGAAAATTGCGTCCATCCGGGCCATCCACAACCGAGTCGAGAACTAAGAGCTTGCTGCAATGGCGTGAAACCGCTATCTCCATGGGACTCTGGTGTAATCTCCAAAACTGCCGCCCAGCCCTGCGCAGTGCCAGGAGTGCGTTGTCAACGTCTTTGAATTCCGTGAAGCGGCCCATGAAACCAAGGTAGGTCTCGCCCTTCAACCTGTGTTTCCGGGTCTCCACAAGGTCCCAAGCCTCATAGACGGCGCTACGATCAGCCTTCTTTATGAAGAAGCGCACACCCTTCTGCGGCACATAGGAGACAGGCCACTGCATGGGGTCCAAGCAGGCACGTATGACAGACTGATAATTGTGGGAATTCTTGGTCCACCGCTGCATCTCACGAGAATGAAGAGTGTCCAGATAAATAAGACAGTCCGCAATCATGGCAAAGACTGGCTTGACAGAAGCCTGACATGTGACTAAGAGGAATTCCAAGGCCAGCTCAGGAGAGTTCCGCAATAGCCACAGCGACAATCGTCCCCAGTGGATCTCCATTTCCAGCGGAGTAAGGCCATTCCAGGCCTCACGGAACGCTCCTAGGCTGTCCGTTTGAATTGTCTCCAGCAACGCCTTATCTTTCGAGTCTAGAGGGTAAGGCACCAACTCTTCCTGCACTTCTCTCCCATCGTACTTCGCTTGGAATAACTCTCTCTGCGCAAACCTCCATTTTCGAATATCATCACCACTGCACGTATATGATCCGGACCTGATAGCCAAATCCAAGGCTTTGGTTTCCTTTCCAAAGCGTAATGTCAAGAGCGGCTTCACATCGCTGAAGCTCGCGAGGGTAGGCGGGGTACGCAAACTGCGTTTCTGCACGACGGATAGTGTAGTGTTTTTGTTGATGAGCGATAGTAAAGTTGCGTTGCGAGAAGCAGCTCCGGGTGACAGAAGTGAGAACTCCCTTTTGGTAATCGAGGGCTGGTTATGAAGTACACTATTCCCTGCAGATCGGCCGAAGGTAGTTGTATGGAAGAGGCGTTGGGTCTTCATTTCTGGAATAACAGTGCTGTAGACACTGGAATGCCTCATACCATTTGAAAAAGTATCTGGTTGACTGGAGGTATTCGATTGCGGCGCATTGTCGACAAAGGATCTTGCATCCTGGGGCCCTTCTCTCCGTCGCCCGAGGCGGAGCCTATGCTGCGGGTTGTAGACCGGCAATCCAGCGCAGACGCGGGAACGCGGGAGATAGTGCGGACAAGGTAACATTCAGACTCACAGCTTGTTCAGCTCATATCTCGATTGAAAGTTGCGAGAACAATCACCGCGCGGGTTTGGGGCCGGGGAACGAAGGGAAGCACGATTGTTGTAGCCAATAATCTTTCCCTCCGCCGCCGGATTTTGCTCCGGCGCCGATGTGGCTGGTGCGTTACAGATGTGGCGCAGCACCGCCCGATAACCAAAGCACAAGCAAGTACCTACCGAAAGATCATTCTAGACTTCATCATCACATCGTCTCAGTTCTCGGGTGACGCGAGACCCTTTCGAAGAGACTCGGAGCTTTCTGCGGGCAGAATAAAAGGATCGTTACTCGTTTTTCACCCCGTACTTACACCATATCGTGAAATCCTTCCCCCCGCTCGATTTTTATATCCGACCCTCCTCTCCCCGCCGTGATGTCGTCGAACCATGCTTCTCTCGATGCGGCGGCAAATGAGCGCAAAGCACGTCTTGCAAAGCTTGCCGCGCTGAAGCGGAAACAGCCAGAGCCAGAGCCATTGACCGAAGCTGGTGCCGCCGATGAAGAATTGGAAGATGCTGCTCCCGATGTAACAAAGCAATACCTCTCCGGGAGGAACTACGACGCAGAAATGCGCGGCCCAAAGCTGGGATTCGACACCGCCCCATCAGATGGTCAGATCACCGTGGAAGCGCAGGCTGCAGAAATCGCTAGGGCCACCGCAGAGAAAGCCAAGGAGGATGAGGAAGGTGACCAGCCCATTGACCTCTTCAAGCTACAGCCCAAGAAGCCGAATTGGGATCTGAAGCGGGACCTGGATGAGAAGATGAACGTCCTCAATGTTAGAACTCAGAACGCGATCGCGAAACTGGTCCGCCAACGGATAGAAGAGGCACAACGCGCAGCTCAGGCGAAAGGAACAGGTGCCAATGGAGGTGAACAGGGCGAGGAAGTGGGCATTGAAGGTGATATGCTGGTCCAGGGCATTCATGTCCGTGAGAGGGAAGAAGAGGAGGCAGGCAACGGTCTGGAGGATGACGAGGCATGATTTTGATACCCCATGGGAAGATGTATGGTAGCAGTTGCGATTCGGTCTCATCTCTTTGCATCTTGCTTTTACAGGCGCCCACAGTTGGAGGATTTGGGACAAGTGTCGCAAGGCGTTGAGGATCTCTGCATACGGTTTACTTGGAAAATTTACTTTCAATGCATTAGCCTTCTGTATGGTCTTACTATAGTACAGTCCCCCGTTTATAATCCTTGGAGAACCAGCCCGTAATGATGAGCCTCGAAAGAGGGAAAACGCCAAACTCCCGCACATCCGTTGTCCAGTACTTTTTCTATTCAAAACCGCAAGCCAAAGACACCTAGTTGCCCAGGTTCATGGACTGCGTCAACGCAAGACGCTTGCTGTAAGGACTGAGACTCCTCTCACGGGGCGGAGGCGGCGCGCGACCTTGGCCCCGTCCGTCTTTCTGCGAGTGACTCGGACCATCCCTATAGTCTCTTGAAGCAGGATAGCCACGCTCTGGTCGCTTCTCTGGGGTCGCAGACCGTCTCGTCCGGGCAATTCGGCTGTGATCCACGCTCTGACTTCGGGACCTGTCTCGTCGTTCACGATCCCGTGACAGGTGTCGAGGCCGGCCTCGCTCTTCAGGGCTGGATTCTCGACGCCTCCGCCGGGTGTTCCTGTCACCCTGCCACTCACGCGATCGAGAACGAGAGTCTCTGTCCCCGGACGAGTAGGAGACTGCGGAATCATGAGAAGACGCATCGCTGTAGCGTCTCTTCCTTTGTCCAGAAACATGGGAAGAGATGGACCTTGTTCGACCATGGCCCTTTCGTGCACCATAGTCCGCATGGCGAGGGGGCGATCTTGAGTGTGACCGACTAGTTGATATCGTTGATACCGAGCTGACCGAATGTGATGATGCTGACCGAGCTCGTTTAGAGGTCTGAGTGCGACTATCAAGAGGGTCCGCCTCATCATGCTCTCTTTTGCGACCTCGTTCTTCCTCACGCTTGGCAAGGATCTCAGTCGCTAGTCCTTTCCTGTACGCATTTTTAGCTCGTGCTCTTGACAGCTCGCTCATGAGCTAGATAGAAAGGATAGACCTACGTGCGTGATGAGTCACTAGGGACATCAGCTGAGAGTTGCGGCCGCAGTTTGGGGTTCAATAACTGCTGCGTGCGTGATGGACGAGACGTGTACGGCCGCTCTTGGGCGGTCACTTTACATTCATAGCTGTAGTGCCGTGCTGGGACCGTCAGCAAATATGGAATTATAGTGTAGATGGTCTTTACGTATCTCGTTTCAGGCATTTTTGGCACAAGGTGCTAGGAGTAGCCTTGGTAGGGCCTCTGAGGCCGGGAGCATTTCGATAGCGATTCATCCGGGGCACTTATCAAGCCAGTAGCGGATACGTAAAGAAGCTATGGATCGGCTGCCTGTCTGAAACACAAGAACACAAAAGAGAAAAAGATCCCCGCACGCCAGGAAATCAGCCTGGATATCCCAAACCCAAGCTCTTTCCTCCCCGCGGCTGTCGCAGGCAGAATGTGGGCCAGGCCGACTAGATTAAGCGCGCGGCTAAGCGCGGGCAGCGGCCCACGAAGGAGGAGCCAAGCGAAACCCGCCCGATTGACTTGAAGCGTTGCTCGTTCCTTCTCAGCCCAAAAGATCAAAAAGCCGGTCCAGCATCGTTGGCCTGCCCTTTTACCCACCCCCCATCCACATCCACTTTCCCCCCAAATTTGCCCTCCGGTGTTAGTGGAAGTCCAAGGGCGCTTCCGTCTCGACTCCCACTCCCTACTTTTTCCGGCTGGCTTGGTTCGTGTCCCGATCGTCTCATTGTTAGTGGAAGGAAACCTCATTTCCCCCTCTGCCCCCCAAAAGACAAGCGTTGCATATCGAAAGCCATGAGCCAATCTTTCTGACCATCGTGTAAGAGCAGCCTTCTTTCTTCCTTCCTCTCTTTCTCTGCATGCTTGCCTGCATCCCATATTCCGGCTCCTGATCAGCCAGTCCTCTCCACCCCGCTTCTCACAGAGCACGGCTCTGTGGCATTCCGACCGGACCTGACGTCGAAGCAGCTTTCCTTATGGCGACCTACGTTTTCCAGATATGTGCCGTCTTTCTTTTTGGGCTTGTGTGAAGTGGGATCTTTGAGTGGCTTTTGATCGATATTCATTTCGGCTTTTTTCTTCGTCAACACCTGAGCGGGTAGAGTGCAGTCTCTCGTCGGGTTTTCCCCTTATCCAATCCGTCCGTATCCGATCGTTTATTGTCTTAGCGGAAGGAAACGCTACAAGAACCCTGGACGTTTGGCTCAGAGAGTCACGGAATAATGGCATCCAACAGTTCCACAAGAGACGAGCATCGTCTTTCCTTTGCAAAGGTAGGTGCTGCGTTGCTAGTCGGCCAACGGCGGGTTCTCGCTGACCCGCTCAAGCAGATTGCGGCCATGCCTCCGCCATCAAATTCGGAAGTCCCCGTATCATCTGACGATTTGAACGGCTCACAGTCCGTCGATGACCCTTCATCATGTTCCGAACAACATGGCTCGGAAAATGTCCCCTCCAGCCAGGGAGACCCGATTTCTGTCCGAAACGAGGCTGCCGCTGTTGATCGAAACGTCGACAGTCTATCGCAGGCCGTACATGGTGTCCACATCGATGACAAAAAGTACCACGACGGTCCTGTATTCTCCAATGAGGTTGCAGACAACGCTTCTCTGAAACGAGAGAACTCGTTTGAGGACGATCGTACCCATCTTTCAAACTCCTCGACCAAGCCCACGAGCTTCGATTCTAAGAGCATGGCTTCTGTAACGACATTCGCAATGGACGAAAAAGATTCTTTGCGTCCGGATGACAGTGCGAGCGTTCAGGCCATTGATGAGGAGGAGTCCCTATCTGGGCACGCCTCCGGTGCTCCGAACTCACTGACAGGGTCAGAGTCAGGTGCCCGCGGATTCTTACAGAGACCACGGGGAATTCTGCAGCCCACGGGACCTATATTCGTTGATGGTATGCAGCGCACAAATGGTGCCATATTGCCAGACACTGTCGCCAACAATTACCCGAATGCCGATGCTTTCCAAGCAGGACGGCCTATACATGGGTTCCCGTCAGAGCCCGACGAGAAACTCCTTGAGGCTATGAAGTCCCCCAAAGACCGCCTCTTGATTCTTCAACTGGAAGAAAAGGTCCGATACTTTATACAGAATTCTAAGTAAGTCGGCCACCATGCTGCCTTTGTGGTTCTGGGTTCAATATTCTGATGATTTCCTAGGGAGCACTCTTTGGAACTCCCGCCTTCAAACGCTTTTGGGCGGCTCCTTGCACACAAGCTGGGCGATTACTACCATCTGACGCACTTCGTTGACAATAATGTCACGTCCGTCCGGCTTCATCGGACGCCTTTCTGTCGGCTGTACGTCTGCGCTGCGATCCTCACATCTTTCATGGTTGACTTGTGCTAATTTTTGTAGCCCTACGCCTCTCTCAGTTCTCCACGCTGCGACTAACAGTACTCCGCCTCCCGCCATGCCTGCAATGAAGATCATGCGTCGTACCGATAGTGAGCGGCCTTCCACCGAGGGTAGCATCGCGGCAAGCTCCTCCGCTGCATCTAAGAACGGATCCGAAGCCGGGGACAGCGGAAACGACGGGGAGCGGGGATCTACCCCAGCCAAGGACAGGTTGACCTTGACTCGCGAGGAGAGGGAGGCCAAGTACCAGGAAGCTAGGGAGCGAATTTTCCGTGATTTTACCGAATCGAAGAGTACTGAGAACGCCAATGGTGATTCTACCGGAACCAATATGTCACGCTCGAGCTCAACAAGTGGACGCAAAAAGGCACAGCGCCAGAAAACTCCTCACGATGACAGTTTCGAGGTTCGATCTCAATTCAACGCGTATTACCCAGGAATGCCTTATGCCAACGGACCAATGCCCTACGGCATGGCTGTCAACGATCCGTCTTTTCCAGCCCAACCTTGCATGGTGGGACCCGGTGTGTCGCCGCCTAGTATGGGCTACGGTCATAGTGGCCAGACTGGTCCAATGTATTCCGGGCCCATGAACATGAATGCTATGCCACATTATTCGATGCCTGTATCGCCTCAGATGACCCCCAGTGGCCCATGGCAGAACGGCCCTGTGCCCCAGCAGTCCCCCTACTCTGGATATGCGACCATCAACCAGTCGCCCGCGATGGCATCCACTAAGTCGTCCCCTGCTTTGAGCAGCTATCCTATGCCAAACTCCGTCCAATATCAACCCAATCCTGGTTGGTCCACGCCACCTTATCCCGGCGGCTATCCACAACCATCACATCGCAATCCTCCCCCAACTGGATGGGCCGGCTATCAAACGCAGCCTCCAACACCGACATCTTATCCTTATGCTCAATATCCCGGACAGCCCATGAGCCCGGGGATGCAGGGCCACGGCGGTGCTCACCCTTTGCCCGGAAGCTTCAATAGGTCGCCTTTCAACCCACAAACCCGCTCATTTGTCCCTGGTGGTGCGACGTTAGCACGGCACCCCAGCAAGGGCAACCAGCACGGTATGAACCCATATCCAGGTATGCAGCCGGGCATGCAGCCCCAGTGGTCCGGATTCCAAGATTTGAACAGCAAGGCTCAAGACATGCCTGGTTCAGTTGGACATGGCCCGACCCGCGGTGGGCCTTCGGGAGGCAGAGATTCTATTGCGAAGTGGGGGACACCGTCACATCTGCCACCCAAGCCACCACCGTCCGAGGTGCCTTCTGACTTTGACTTGAAACCGCGCAGTGGGCCCAACTCGACGCATCCTTACTCGGGCAACACGCTCCCCGCCACCAAAAACGGGCCGCTTGTTATTTCTGGCGGAGCAAGCCTGCCACGGGTCAATTGACGTGCTCCTGCCTAGGGCAGACAAAGCTTTTTTTCATTAGAGTGATACTACTACTTGACTGTTTTCTACCAAAAGTACATATGGTTCAATGTTGGCGTGATGTGTTGCTGGTGACGAAGGTTCCTGACGCGGCCGTTCTGTATCTCTGGAAGATTAGACATGGGAACTGTTAGTTGTGATCAGCGTCGCATCTCTAGTGGGAGAGAGGAATGATTTGATGAGTGGGAACTGGGTTTCAAGGTCCTGTCAGCGCCGCCCAACCCCTCGCTGTCGACGACTGGGATTTCGTGGGCGTTCGGGACTTGGTTGGAAACCTGAATTACTCGATGTACTTTGAGCATTGCTATGTTTGCTAGATCTTGCTGGCTTGGGAGGGGCAGGCGATAGTGCTTAGATAAATACACTGTATGACACCAAGTGTTGAGATATTGAAGTATTTGCAACAAGTAGTTATTACTACCCGGGAATAATCTCGACGGCTGCGGTCAGAAGGGTCCAGTCTACATACACGACACCACAGAAAAAAACAGCTAAAATTACACAATCATGACTAGCCAAAACACAAGGCCCAAGCACACAGCAGTGAAGGTAAAGAAATAGTAAAGGTACACAATATAAAGGCCAACTAGGCCACCACCACACCCATCACTCACTCATTCATCACTCTATTGCTTCGCAGGCTTCGCCTTCCCCGCCTCCTCCTTTCCATGACCAGTAATCTCTAAGCGCTTAATCTCCCTCTCGAGATCAGAGATTCCCCCCTTCCGGAACCGCGTGACCTTATTCACATTCATTGTGGTGAGTTCATTGAGGGTCTCCAAGCCCTGAGACCGCTGTCTAGCAACTGTCCGCGCCGTCAAAGCAAACCGCATATCTTTAGGTCCATCCACCAACTCCAGGATTGCACTGGCGGCCTGATCATCCTTCTTGGGTTCGACGCGCAGAACTCGCGTGTAGCCACCGGGACGTTCGGCGTAGCGTTCACGAAGAGGACCGAAGAGCTTGGGGAGAAGTTCGTGGGGGGTCTGATTATTTATTTGGTTAGTTGAGATTGTTCGCTTTCATCTATCGTATATCCTCCATGGTATGTAGGAAATATGTCTTGAGAAAGAAAGAAAAGGATAGAGGGGCAGCATCATACATAAAACGTCGACAATGCGCGCTTCCGGCTCGCTTCGGTGTTCTTCTTGCCCAGGGTGATCAGCTTCTCGGCCAGTCGTTGCGCCTCCTTGGCCTTGGCCCATGTGGTTGTGATGGATTCATGCTGGAAGAGAGAGGTGACGAGGTTACGGAGGAGGGCCTGTCTGTGAGAGGACTTGCGGCTCAGATGGCGGAATTTGGCAGCACCTCCGGCCATAGCGTCGGTGGTGGTGAGGGTGGTTTATTTGATATGGGTTTCTGTTCGGGGCGGAGTGTGGATAAGCTGGCTTCGGGGGCCAGGCGGTGGGATGGGATGGATCAATTCGAAGAGACCGGATGGAATTGAAACCGGGGTGGAGGATAAATGGGATATCAGGACTCACGGGTTGTTTTTCGTTGTCGTTGAGAGGGAAAGATGAAGCTGGAGATGGAGATGGGCGGAAAGATTCGATTCGCCGCGTAGCCAATCGGAGTGCGGGTACGGCAGCCCCGACTTTCTCCTCCGTTTAGGAACATCTCTGATCTTCAATCCTTCCTTCGATCCCCATTGAGTTCTTTTGCGTCTTATAATTGGGGAGTCTCTTTTGCCTGAACTGTACAGTGGTATTTGGACAAATCGGACATATTTATTTTGTCCCACATCTCCGCTTGGTGGCCACATCAGACGAGACCGATACTCCTCGTCGTTCCATCTCAATCAATCCCGATTGTCTGATTGTCCGCAAGGGCTTTGAAGAACCCCCCGCTTTCGTCTGTACACTTTACCAATCTCGACATCCTCTATTTGGCTTTGGTCAAACCATTTGTGAATATCCGCTCTTGTAATTTCTAAAATAGAGATTAACATGGGCTTCTTCGCTGGCTTCGTAAGTCCCCCGTTATGCCCTTACTACTCTCCTACCTCTTCATCCACTTATCCTACATCCCTCCATCCCTTTAACTCCATCCTCCCTCACATACAAATCAAACCAAACCAAAATCTCATAAATTACACCCGAATCAGTTCAGCGGCTTCGCCCTCACCACCTCCGTCCTGTACATCTCCCTCCAAGTACACAAAGCCAATCGCCTGGAACAGCGCAATGCCATTCGCGAACAAACCCGCGCTCTGAACTGGCTGGCCTCATCAGCAGGCGCATACGACCGTCGCTTATTGCCTCAAGAGACCCAGAAGCGTCCGGGTGAGGAGGAAGACCGGAAGACGAAACCTGTCTTGAAGGACTTCTTGAAACATCGCTGGAACCAAGAGGTGGAGACGTTGGCGAGGAAGGCGTATGAGAGTCGGTGGGAGGATGCGCGGGATACGGCTGTGGAGGGGTGGAAGACGGTGGTGAGGCTGGTGAAGAAGGAGTAGATAGATTTGTCTCCTAGTGCTGCCTTTTGTTTATGGTTTGCGTTGGGTGTAGGTGTGGGTGTGGGTTTGATGGAGATGAAGATGGAGATGAAGTTTCAGATACCCTTTGGTTTTTGCTCTATATTTATAAGGTCTTTGGATTGTTTAACTAGCGGTATAATGCTACATTTCTTGTTTTCTTGGTTCGCGGTGATTGCGGGGTATATGAAGCAAGGCTTCTTTGGGGGCTGTTGCCGCCTATGTGGTGGATTAAGTATGCGGGGTGGCGCAGACTTGATGCGATTGTCTTGCGACTGCTGGTACTTGGACACTGTGTGCCGCGTTGACAGCAATGCATATCCACTGTCAGTAGGCTAGTCGCCTTACTCTTTAATACAGAGGGCTATCAAGCAGTCCCCGTAGATGTCTGTATAGGCCAACAGCTAGCTCACCCAGTATCAGTCGTGGTCTGCGTCGTGGTACTCATGCTATCAGTATCACTCCAGATATCTTTGCTCTCCCTTTCCACCGCGCGCATAGCCTGAGCGACTTCCTCCAGCTTGGCCACCACATCCAAGACACCATTATTAACCCGATCGAAGTATCGATCATTAGCCTCCCGTCTCTCCCGTGCAAGAAGAATATCCTTTTCCGTCTCCTCATCCAGATTCCGCGAGGAACCATCCTCAGGATTAGCAGAATCGCCCGGTCCAGCCGTGCTTCGCGACGCCGGCCGCAGCGACGCATTACTCTTTGCCGTGGCCGCAGCAGTAGCGGCAGCACCTTTTGTTTCCACAACCTCATCCCCGGCTTCGCTGCGCGCCCACGCCTGCGCAAGCTTCAGCTGTTTTGTCCGGAGATCTTCCAACGCCTCAGAGTGCTTCTCCCCAAAGACATGTTCGCCCGTTGCCGCGCTCAGCTCGACCTCGGACAATGCGCTCTGCATCTCCTGCCATATGGCCTCGGAGCCGTCCACCTCCCCCTTGGACTGTTTGCGAGTCAGGAATGGCGAGAGGGACCCCGGGGCCTCTAGGGTTCCTGCGCGGGACGAGCGATTGCGCTGCAGAGGCGGCCGCGGAGAGGCTCCCGTCGTCGGAACAGCAGATACCGGCGGGGGAAGAGAGAGATTGGAGGCATTATGTGACGGCGGGCCTTGGAAGAGGACAGGCGGGGGAAGACGCTGGGCACTTATCTTCCTGGTGTCCATTTTGGGATCCATTTTAGGATCCATTCTGAGTGGGGGATCCATGGTTGGCAGTATATTTGTTTCCTTCCCTTCTTGCTATAAATTAAACATTATAATGTGGATCACAATTGAATATCAATAGTATAGTTAGAGTATAAGAAGAAAGGTGGTGATAGTGAGTGACAGCATCCTTATCGTTATCAGGAACCACGGGGAGAGCGACAGAGAGAGACGGAGAGGGCCGAAGTTTCTCCGACTCCGACCCAGCCCGAGTCCCGTGCCTCGCTTAGCGGCCGTTTAGGGCGAAGCCGCACAGCAGAACATTTTCGATCTAGTCGAGCGACCGCCGGCCGTGAAAGCGAACCCCCCCTTCGACTTTCGACAACCATCCGCCCATCCAGCCAATTTTATCCATCAGTTCGGTACGTATAGAGATACCCCCCCTATTGTGAATTTATTATCACCAGTCGATATTTCCCTGGTTGCGAAAAAGACAACGAGAAATTCCCCCTACGCACACACAAAGTCCGCCTTTTATATATCCCCGAATCTTGAGAGAGAGAAATCCGCAAACACATCCGCCACCTGCAACTTTTCCAACTTTCATCACCGAATTACCACCCATTTATTGGAAAAAAACATAATTCTAACGGAAATTCTTGCCTTTTTACAGTTCACCCTCCTTCGAACATAATCCGACAAGATGGGTAAGGGACAGCCCCGTGGTTTGAACGCCGCCCGCAAGCTCGCGACCACCCGTCGCGAGAACCGCTGGGCCGATCTGCACTACAAGAAGCGCCTCCTCGGTACTGCCTACAAGTCCTCTCCCTTCGGAGGTGCCTCCCACGCCAAGGGTATCGTTCTTGAGAAGGTCGGTGTTGAGGCCAAGCAGCCCAACTCCGCTATTCGCAAGTGTGTCAAGGTCCAGCTCATCAAGAACGGCAAGAAGGTTACCGCTTTCGGTGGGTGATCCTATCCTATTCGTTTTTCTTTATTTTCCCGGTTGTTGTTGTGGATGAATTGAGTTTGGGGTGTATATGATGGAAATCTGTGTGGTGTGTGGGGAGGATACCATGAGAAGAGCAAGGGAAGCATGGAATGGAGTTGGGGGGTGTGGCAACGGGGAAATACTGAATATCTGATTCTGGGGTTCGATTGTGCTAACATATGGTGCTCTGTTTAGTCCCCAACGACGGTTGCTTGAACTTCATCGATGAGAACGACGAGGTCCTCCTCGCCGGTTTCGGTCGTAAGGGCAAGGCCAAGGGTGATATTCCCGGTGTCCGTTTCAAGGTCGTCAAGGTCTCCGGTGTCGGTCTGCTCGCTCTCTGGAAGGAGAAGAAGGAGAAGCCCCGCTCTTAAATAACCCAAACCCTGGGGAATTTAATAAAGATGTTATTAGCGGGGTGGAAGGGGGCCCATTCCATGGAAGATGCTTCGGGGCAAAAGGCAAAGCAAACACAAGTCTATGGTCTGGAATTGATGGTTCAGGACGGATGAGACCCTGCAAAATACATACCATTTGCAGCGTACTACGATTGATATATCCATAAAAGATGGCGCCATGATTTATTTCTTTGGGAGGGCCCTAAAATTCAAATCCTTCAAAAAATGAGTCTAGCTCTTGTCGTAGTTCTGTTGTAGGTCGAACCAGCCTTGCGGCAATCTGCGCATCTAGAACGCATATACTACTGTAGTATGTACATCGGCTGGGTGCGTCAATCGATAAGGACTGATCTCATTCATAAAGATTATCCTAGTATCCCCGCGGGTATCGTTGCGTTCCATGATCTATGCCCTTACGCCTTACTCTCATCTATAGCCGTACTTTTTGCATGTCATCTTGCAGCCATCTGCATTCCCTTAAGTTTTTGTTCATATGTTGATTCATTTCCATTTCCATGATCCTCAAAACCGTTAGACGTTGATATCCTCCTTGCGGTAGTGGTCCGAGACAATACGGTAAAGGTAAGATGGCGCATGGCCTCCCCTGGAGTGCTTGTCAGTTCTGCAGACTCAATGGTCCAAGGTTTAGGGTAACTTACAGGTTAGTGATGTAAAGGTCGACCAGTTCCGCGGGGACATAGTCGTAAAGCGGGTTCTGCACGTCAATTTGGTCTACGAGGTCACCATCTTCGTACCCAATAACCTTGCTGACATCGCCATACTCGATCAGCGAGTCGAAGTCGAACGGGTAGACAGGGCTGAGCTTGTAGACACCGCTCACAACGACCACGGGAGTCTGGTGCACCTTGGCCGCGCGAGCGATGACTCGCGTGCCTGCCGCAGCGACCAATCCGCCGTTGGCAAGGACCGAGTGTGTGCCCAAGATGACCTTGTTGACACGGGACATGAGCGCGAAGACTGCGGAGTCGGGGATGAGGATAACGGTGATGCCCAGAGCAATCAAAGGTTTCTGGAAAGCCTCGGTGCTCAGGATGTCGTCGTCCTTAGGAGCCTGTCCGCTGACGGTGGCATGGGTCGCCTCATGGTTGTTAGGATAAGATTCGGCATGGATGACGGTGAACTTGCGCTTGGCCGCAGCCTTGAGCAAGAACTTTTGGACGGTAGTCGAAGAAGTGTGTGTGAGGATGATTTCGTTGGAGTGAATGTGTTCCAAGGCATAGGCCGCAATCTGGTCGTCCACCTGGCCCAACTCATCGATAATTTCGTTGATACCGTCGAGAACTTCGGCACGGATATCTTTGTTGTGGCTTTGGCCAAGTAGGCGGCCCGACGGAGACGCGGAGGCCGGAGTGCCAGGTAGAGACGACTCAGGCTCTGGGTGTGAGAGAAGACTGAACATGGAAATGGGCGTGGCCGACAGCGAAGTAAAAGGCTGTCTGGAGGATGACCGGTCGGAACCTTCATGGCGAGAAGAGAGAACCTCGGAGGGGTCTGCAAACGGCAGGGATATTAGCTCACAATAGTCCTGGATTGATGTGCGATGAGACAGGACTGACCATCCAAGGCACGAGGGGTCTGAGGCTGGCTTTCAGAGCCCGCTTCACTCAGAGTGAAGTCGGCCTCTCTGTCGTCTTCCGCTTCATCACGGATCAATCCGAGCACACGTCTGACAATGTTTCCGACCACCATCTCCCTAGGCTGGGCAGCCATCACGCGCCTTCCCACATGCTGGACTCGCTCGATCATCTTGTTCGCATCCGAAGTCCGAGTGGCCGAAATAACACTGCGCAGAAGGTAGGCGGTTGCGGTCGCGCATGATCTGGAATGGCGAATCTGTCTGCGTTTCAGAAGCCTAGAGGCTGGTCAGTATGTTGCACGAGCTGCTGCGACACGCGGTGATATGACGTCGAGGACGCACGAGATCAGATCGTCAATCGATGTATCAATTGGATTCGTCTTCAAGGACTTGAGGAACGACGCCAATCCAGGCGTCAGGGCCGCGGAAGTGGACGGCATGGCTGCGATTAACCGCGAAAGGGTCTCTTATTGAGTTGACTGTCAGGCTTAAAGGTGTTGACAAGCTCCAATGGCTTCCTGGTCAGGCACGCACAGTGTTAGAAGGTGGAGGAGTCATATGGTCGCGAACGGTAGCATACCTTTGAGAGGTCGCTGGAAGATTTCTCGAAATTGCACCGGTTGAGGAATCTATGACCAGATCGAACCGGAGAATAACGAACTCCACGTGGGAGACTTTTTTGGGGGAGAAAAGTGAGGGTGTTAGAAGGGGGAAAGTCAGAGGGAGGAAGAGGAGGAGAAGGTGGGATGTGGTGACGGCGGGAGAATTTGCCCGCTTTCTTTCGGTCTCAACTGCGCTCGGCCCAACCATACATACATACGTCCATACATACATACGGTCTCAGCGTAACATACGGCCAGGCCGCTTCTCTCCCTCTCACTCTCTCCTCTTGCTCTCCCCACACTTTCTTACTTCGGCCCATCGTTCCTCAACTTCATCCGCCGGCTGATCAGCTGCTGTCCGTCTCAACTTCCTCCTTCCCCCCAGCCCTTCCTCCCTCATACCTCTCCCCTCTCCGTGAGGCCTCCCTCTCGTTGTCGCCGTGAATTCCGCACGTTCGGGCTCTCCTTTCCGCCCGTCCTTTCCTCGGATCTACTTGTCGTCATTCCGCCATCCACCAGGTCGGGTAACGGTGAAATCCGAAAAAGCACGGGTTGTCGACTGGCGCATTGAGGTCCGTAGACCCCAACAGTTTCGGCTCTCCATATCACCGCATCATGCTCCAACATCCCCGGTTCCATCACCGGCCTCGACTATCTAGCTTGCAGTATTCAAATGATTGCTGACCTACGCTCCTTCTCCCTCTAGTCACCTGCGCCAGCCCAGACACCCGTGGGCCGTGTGGGAAGATGAACTCGCTCAACATCCTCTCGTCTCGAGTCATTGGCCAGTCGTCCCTCCCAGCTCGGAGCCGCCAGCGTTCCCGGTCTCAGGGAGACGTCGCCAGAGCGAGTGAGCCCGGCGACCTTGCCAAACTTCGGTCGTACAGCGAAAGCAACTTTCACTCGACTGAGGCCCACGAGAATAGCCATGATGCGCCCGACGAGAATATAAACTACTCCCACGAAATTACGTTTGATGAGAAATCGCCCCTATTACGAAGTATACAGAAAGATGGTTCATTTGCTACGAAAGGCACCCTAGGATTCGTTGCCCAACGGTTCTTTGATGCGATTGCGGAAACGATCAAGTTCATCTTATCCACCTTAGCTGCGCCCGGTTTTTATGTTGCCCAATGTTTCGAAGACGATAACGGTCATTACTCTTTCATGGCACCTGTGAGAAAGCTCCGACGGTCCGTGTCTCGCCGCCCATCCAAGTCGACTGGCTCCACAACGGCGGGTAGAGGTAGTCGACAAGCGGAGAGCAAGCGACGAACAGGTACTTCGCGACGGTCTAAAAGCAACGTTTCACGGGATTCCATCGCTTCGAGCACATCCGAGTCGGAAGGAGATCGCCGGAGCGCCAAGGCACTCGGCAATAGTCGGTCACGAACCTCCAAGGCAAAGTCGTCCAGTCCAGAACCAAGGCCAGATGAGACCGCTCCTAGACGCTCGATCCGGATCAAGCTCCATAGTGAAGAGGCACTCAAACGACAGAGGCAACGTCGGTCGCAAAGTGCTGATCTGCGCCAGACACCGGAAAATGGGGTTCAGGGTACTCTCAACCTCGACAGTCTCAAATCTCCCACGTCTCCGTCTGTGCATAGGGTCACCAGGTATCCGCATTCTCCTGTCCCTCCTCGCCCGCTGATTCCACCCCGTGTGCCATCTTACACGGCCAACCTCCGCCTTCCCAAGAGCCCGCAAAAGACTCTAGTCCTCGATCTGGATGAGACTCTCATTCATTCCCTGGCCAAAGGCGGCCGCATGTCCAGTGGGCACATGGTTGAGGTCAAACTGTCCACGCCGATGACGACTGCACTCACACCTGGCGGACCTCCCACGACTCTGGGCCCGCAGCATCCCATTCTGTATTACGTACACAAACGACCCCACTGTGATGAGTTCTTGCGCAAGATCTCCAAGTGGTACAAGCTGGTCATCTTCACAGCCAGTGTGCAAGAGTATGCGGATCCAGTCATTGACTGGCTTGAGCAGGAGCGGAAATACTTCCAGGCGCGGTATTACCGTCAGCACTGTACTTTGCGGAATGGTGCATATATAAAGGATCTTAGCTCTGTGGAGCCTGATCTGAGTAAGGTGATGATCCTGGACAACAGTCCTATGAGTTATATTTTTCACGAAGGTACGTCTCGACTTCGGCGTGGTTCTACTGCCATATTCCGGCCTGATCTAACACCTGCAATAGATAATGCTATCCCAATTGAGGGCTGGATTAATGATCCCACGGATAATGGTCTTCTTCACCTCGTCCCCATGTTAGAAGCTTTGCAGTATGTGACCGATGTGCGGGCATTTTTGGCCTTGCGTAGAGGGGAAGCGGAAGCTTAATCTGGCGCCGAGGGGCGATGGTGGAGGCCTTTACCAGACCATAGAAACGAAAATCAGAAAAAGGAAGGAAAAAAGAAAGAGAAAGCACAGTTTGATGTTTACGGAAGTTCTTATAATGCATTCATAGCTCAGCTCAGCTCATGTAAAGAAGAGGCTGAAGGGAAAGCATGACGAGTGTTCACTGAAGCATAATGTTTGTTCCTCTCCATTCCATTACCATACCATACCCCCTCTCCTGTTTTTATTCTTTTTGCCTTATTATACTACTTTGTCACCCTACAGATTCTTGTAATTCCTTTATTTTTTCATTGTCATTCTCCTATACTATTCTCTATTCTTATACCGTTTGTGTCATTCTGTTCCACCTTGTCTCACGAGTCAGGAATCATCCTCAAAAATGCCCACCTCAAATACAATATACCTTCCTGTCTGGATTTTATTCATCAAGACAGCGTTGCTAACTGCCACTTTGCTTCTTCGTTTCTTTGACCGAAAGAATCCTTTGGAACTGGGTTGTGGGTTTCCTACTGCGATTGTATGTCTGCCATGTCAGTTAGCCTGGGGATAGATCATACAATTCCAATATTGGCCTGTTGCTTCAATCGGACAGTGAATTCTGATACTACTAGTTAGATCTCTCGAGTCGTACTACTTACTCTTACAAGAATTAAAGCTGTCAATACTTGTGGTATAGCTCGACTCAGGTGACTTACGATGCTAAGATAAGCGTGGATAAATATATATGCTGTAGTGGGGACATTTCATTACTATTGAATAAGTAGTATGGATTGAGTAACTATGAACTAACCGAGGTGATGATGGCATGACTTTTAGGATATCACGTAATCTATACCACGTAGAATTATTGAATCTTTCTTTCTCGAGGTGCTCCAATTATTACTTGGTAGAAACTCATGTAGGAAGACTACTACTAGTAGATATACTGCAAGCCAAGTGGAGACGGAATAAATGGTAAACCCGATAGGGTAATATGGCAGAAGCTGTCAGTTCCTATCGCTGTTTCCATATTTCTAATTATCGTTATCGCGCCGTATCCGACATCGGGGAGTTCGGGGTTGATACGAAGTATGAATATTACGACAGCTTATTGATGTAGCTATACTTTGTGAAATATCTTTATCCAATTTTTATTTGTTTCGTTATATTTTCTTTTTGTTTGGGCTTGTTCGTCTAAGATATCGTTATGGTACTAGATTGATTTTTACAGTCCCTTGGCCTGCTTGGCCTCCGTCAAGGCTTCCTTCAAGGCAGCAATGGCCTTGTCGACGTCCGAACGGTTGGGGTCCGTAACGCTGACGCCCATGTGTCCGAAGCGGATGTACTTGGTGGCAACCTGCTTGTGCAGACCCGCTGCAAAGATGACGCCGCGCTTCAGCAGACCCGGCAGGACGTCCGGAGGAGCCAGACCCTCCGGCAGCCAGATGGCCGTCATGGCGTGAGCCTGGTTCTCGGGCTGGGAAGCGACCTGCTGCAGACCGAGCTCGGCGACAGCAGCCTTGACGCGGTCGGAGGCCTGGGCGTGGATGGCGTAGCGCTCAGACATGGGGCGGGCGGTGATCTGGGAGAGGGTGGTGTGCAGGGCGTGGACGAGCTGGGTGGGAGGGGTGGCGAAGTAGGAGGGCTTGAAGTTCTCGTAGTTCTGCATGATGGGGAGCCAGTTGGCGATGGAGGCGTAGTAGGAGGACGGGGGCGTCTGGCGGGTCTTGAAGGTGTCAATGGCACGGCCGGACAGCATCAGGATGCTGAGGCCGGGCGGGCAGCCAATGGCCTTCTGACTGGCCGTGAGGACGACATCAATGTCCCATTCGTCAAAGGCGATCTCTTCGCAGCCGACACTGCAGACACCGTCGACGACGATCAAGGTCTGGGGGCTGACACGGCGGACGACCTCGGCCACGCGCTTGATGTCGCTGAGAACACCGGTCGAGGTGTCGACGTGGGTGATGGTGATGATCTTGTAGGGCTTCTCCTTGAGGGCCTGCTCGATCTGCTCGAAAGAGGGGCGTTCGCCGATGGGGGCCTTAAGCTGGGTGGCATTGGCGCCGTAGGTTTCCAGGCAAGTAGCGAAGGAGTCGGCGAAGTAACCGGTGTGCAGGACCAGGGCATTCTCACCCTTCTCGATCAGGTTGGAGGCCACGATATCCCAGCCGAGAGTACCACTACCGGAGATGACGAAAGGCTGAGCAGCAGGGTTGGAGGACTGGAAGAGCTTCCGGACCATGGACAGGGTCTCTCCGAAAGTCTTGACGAAACCGGGGGCGACATGGCTCTCACTGGAAGCCAAGAAAGAAATGGGTCAATGAGGGGCAGATCGGAGGAAAAAGGACGAGGAGGGGAAGGGGATTGATTAACTTACGCATAGTGAGCCATTGACTGGAGGACAGCATCGTCGAATTCAATGGGCCCTGGGATCAACAGGGTGGGGTGAGGGGCTTGGGAGGACATTTTGGCGGCGGGGGAAGGGGAGTCAGTGGGAGAGGAAGGAGTCGAAGGAGTAGAAGGAGAGGTAGTCGGAGTGGAAGCAGTGCGATCGAGGGGTTTATATTCGATATCGTCGGGAGCCAACGAGTTCCTCTCGGTCGAGAAGGGGGTGTTAAGCTCCGGCAGCGGGAGTCGCTGATCCAGGTGCCTGGAAATCAGGCTCAATCGCTGCTGGGGAGTGCGTTTGGCCGCCAGGGTTGCTGATTGAATCGGCTCTCGACGGGAGAGAGCCTGCGGGGTAAAGGAAGATTGGATGGATAACGATAACTCTCTTTTGCTTGTGATGGAGGGTGGAACAACCGTGGGTTTCCCTCGGGGATCGCCGGGCTTGGATGCAGTAGTAGTGAACACTGTATGTAATCTCTGTATCTTCAGGCACACTACTCACTCCCTAGGTATGGGACTTTTCCTAGTGCAATGGCTGATTCCGGGTGATTTTATGCGATGGGTGAGATTGGAGACGATTTATGGGAATCGGTTTTTAGAAATTCGGGTTTTGGGGAAATAGTTGTAATTCCTCACGTTCAAAAATTTTTCCATTCCCCTTTTCCATTTCATTCCCCTTTTTCTTTTTTCCCTTACATTCTATCGGCCGGAAGACGCCATTCTTTCTCCAACCCGGGCGGACCCTTCCGTCCCACGATTTTCTCCGCGATCAACAATGGCTGTCTCTGTCTTGACTCATACAAATGACATGACTAAGTGACTAATTAGTGTAGTTTGACTGCACGATGGGCCTCTGTTGATTTGCTTTGCATACTTCTGGGCAAGTTGAAAGTCAGTTGTTTGTCTCGGTACAAATGAGATCTCAGCAACATCCACAACCGGCGCAGTGACCCATACGACGCTGTCGTTCTTCACTGCAATGTCCATGTGGACGATCTCGGCCAATTCTTTGAAGATTCACCCTGGTGACTTTACTAACTACTTACTCAAGTTGTACCATCAGCCAGCGCGATTCGCAGGTCTTCGTCCTTTTATTTGAAATCAGTGACCACCCGGAGCAGTCCAGGTCTTCGGATTTCCCAACAACTGATTCTCCGTTTAATAGCAGCAAAGATGAAATAGTCTTATTTTTTGGCCTCTCAGATGTATGTAGGAAAAGCGCAAACATGTCTGCCCGAATCTGCTGGATAGGTAATATTCTGGTTGCTTACGGCGCCCACATGCTGTCGTGGAGGGGTGCTGTTGGTCTTCCATTCCATGCTGAGCTTCGGGGAGCCTTGGTTCTCTTCCAAGTGGGTCTGAACCTCCAGCTGGACGACGACCTGCCATCCATTCCAATGCAGTTTGTCTGCTGCATTCATTCCGGGTCATAGAAAGGAATAAATAGCTGTCCTCTACAACATCCCTAGGCCGAATCACTTCAACAGGATACTCGTCGGTTTATAGTTTGGAATCCCTCGAATCTTCTACCCCTCTCTTTACCCCTCCATCGGATCATCACAATGGCAACCCAAGAGCCTAAACCCGCAGTAGTCTGCGTTTTGTAGGCTGACCTCCCCCCGGATACATCAGTACTTCTCAAAATGATAGTACTAATTCCCCATCAGCTGCGGATCCTATCCCGGTAACTCTCCTAGCCATCTGGAAGCAGCTCGTGCGCTTGCGCAAGATTTCCACAAGCACAATGTGCAGCTGGTTTACGGCGGTGGTACCGTTGGTATCATGGGAGAGCTCGCCAAAACCCTGGTCTCATTATCAGGACCAAAGTCGGTCCAGGGAATTATCCCGCAAGCCTTGGTCGAGGTCGAGGAAGGCTACAAAGGCTCAGCAGCAGACACGCAAAGCAAGGAAGGCAAGGCTGCTGAGCGTGTCGTGAACCAGTCCGTACAAGAATCCAACTTCGGCATGGTGACCATCGTCCCCGACATGCATACCCGCAAGAGATTGATGGCCCAGAAGGTCCTTGAAGGTGGTCCCGGGTCAGGCTTCGTTGCCCTTGCTGGTGGATTTGGCACCATGGAGGAACTCATGGAAATGACCACCTGGAACCAGCTTGGTATCCACAAGGCGGGCATCGTTTTACTAAACATCAACGGCTACTGGAATGGAATCCTCCAGTGGATCCAGGCCGCTGTCAAGGAGGGCCTGGTGAGCCCTGAGAATGCTCGTATCATTGCAGAGGCTACGAAGGTGGAGGAGGTTCTTAAGATGCTGAGGGAGTATCAAATCAGCAGTGATCGTATGGCGTTGAACTGGGGACAAGAATAAGCGGTCGATTACTCAGCAATCCTCTACCAGCATACACGATACAACATGGCACCGCGACACCTCTAACCTGTATAGTTATGAGTACTGAAATTGTCGCATAGAGCCTCCTATAATAGAACGACTCCTGAATAGTTATCAAGCCAAGTGACCTACAGAGGCTAATCCCGAACGGCTTGTAGGGTAGGGCTTAGGGCAGCCCGGGGTGGCAGGCATCCATCGGCGGGCGTCCATAAGCTTTCCCCGCGGAGCTCCATCGCGCCGGAGGAGCAACTGATAGTCATACGTAGCTTAATTTCCCATTCCCGTTCCCATCACCGTCGCCGTCTGCTGTCCGCATACTACTTCTCGCCAATCATACCCCCAAGATCACGCCCACTTGGAATGGGCCTTGAGTGCTTCCTTGCTTGCTTCTTCTAGGATGACTTCCCGTCTAGTCCTGGTCATTGGTGACCTCTTCATCCCCGACAGAGCCCCCGTACGCATCCCCTCATCCCTTATCGCATCCTCGCAGGTTGACCTGTCTGCTGACTTGTACTCGCTAGGACCTCCCGGCCAAGGTGCGCACTTTTGCTCCATCCCTCTTGATCCTCCTCTCTGTTTCGCAATCCCCCGTTCTCGATTAACACGCGCACAGTTCCGGAAACTCCTGACGCCAGGCAAGATCGGCCAGATCCTCTGTCTCGGCAATCTCACCGATCGGAGCACCTTCGAATTCCTCCGACAGGTCGCGCCAGACTTGCAATTGGTCAAAGGCGACTTCGATGTCGATTCCCCAAACCTACCCCTCTCCAAAGTGGTGACTCACGGGAGTCTCCGCATCGGCTTTACTCATGGCCACACCATCATCCCGCCGGGGGACGCCGATGCCCTTCT